ATTGTGCAGATTGGTCCATTTCAGAATAATATATATGATATGTTTTATAATTATTGATCATTAAAGTGTTATCAAAGCTGGTAAAGGTGCAGCTAGTTTTAATGACTTCGTATACTGCATATATGTTTAAAATATTTGTAAAAGATCGGAGAGCCAGCCTCTCGTCCAACATCAGTGTGTGACCTCACTAATGCTCTTCTGGATGAAAGGGCTTCCCACAGACACACTCCAAGATCTGTAGAAAGCCTTCCCAGAAGAGTGGAAGCTGTTATAGCTGCAAAGGGGACCAACTTCAAATGAATGCCTAAGAGTTTGGAATGGGATGTCCTGAAAGCTCCTGTAGGTGTAATCAGAATCAGAATCAGAATCAGAATCAGAATCCTTTATTAGTCCCACAGAGGATACATGTACATTGTTACAGCAGAAAAGAGACAAAGACAGCTTCATGTTTCCTAAAGCATGCATACAACAAAGTATTAAAGATTAAAAAAGAAAGATTAATTTTTTAAACGTTTTACAAAATACACAGTTTTTAACGGCATATATATATATATAATATTGCCTAAAGGAAGCGTATATAATGTGAACACAATAGGTCCAAGCTCTGAGCCCTTATGCTTTGCTGTGGCAGAACTGGCTGGATCAAATCAAACAAACTCTAAACACATTTTCAGCTCTGCACACAATCTGCAATTCAACTCTGCACTTTCTAAAACACTGCACACGGTTCTCTGAGTAACACACAGAGATCTGACATATTCACCTGTCAGCCATTTTCAACACACTGCCATTAAACATGCTACACATATGAGCCAATGAACAGATACACATGCCAGCTGACCGTTAACGCCTGGCTGCTTTACTGCTGACTCATCAATCAGGATATAAGTACAAGAAGTGGGATATTTATTTTATTAATGGTTTTTTTATCACAGAGCTGAGAAATAATATTTAGTCTTAAAGTTACATGAAAAAAAATATAATATCCTGAAGGATTATGAAATACACAAGAAAGAAAACAAGATTTAAGTCGTTAATTCATGAGAAAAGCACTCCGATAGAAAGTCAGAAACATTTCAAATATTTGTTTAAAATGTTGTTTAAATAAAATGTCCAAAGAAAGTATTCAGAGTAATTCTTATTACAGTTTTATAATTGTTTTATATATTTCACAAATGACCTGCTTTGACTGCAGCTTGAGAAACTTCTGGATTCAGTCTGAAAGCATCCTTTTTTAACTTTAAACATGATCTTTAATAATGTTGTAGTTTAGTTTAACTCTGAGAGGTCGACTGGCTGGACTCCTCACTGGGACTCTGGTTCTGGACCAGCTTGCAGGGTCCAGGAGTTCTTGAAGAGAAGGAGCGCTTCCTGCCGCAGGACTCGGGGGATGGGAGTTCCTGAACATGGAGAAACAGCTTCAGTTATTATGCTCCAAATATCTGGAACAAAGTCACAGAAAGAATGTGTCTGCAGCTCAGAGAGTCCTGCGGGGAACCCACACATGTTGAGGAGCCCAAAGTGTGATGAGAGAAATGTACAGTACGGGTCCCCAGCACATAGAAGCTGCCGGATGCTAACCTGCATATGTTGGGAGAGCTTTACAGATCAGGAGAGGAACTAAGTACATTTACTCAAGTGCTGTACTTAAGTACAACGTTGAGATACTTGTACTTGAGTATTTCCATTTGCTACTGTGTACTTCTACCCCACTACAATTCAGAGGTACATGGTGTACTTTTCCTCCACTACATGTATTTCCCTTTAGTTACTTTACAGATGTGGATGAATGATGTGAAATAATCAAGTGTTAAATCAGACTTTAGTTCCACCTGGAGTAAATTCACAAGCTACCCTGCAGTATACAAAGTCATTCAAACTAGCTGCACCTTTACCAGCTTTGAGAACACTTTCATGATCAATCATTATAAAACATATCTTATAAAACGGACAAGTCAAATCAAGCAATCTGATTGGTTCTTAGCCATGGTATACTGAGCGTATACCACGGGTAGAATTGTAGTTACTTTTCACAACAAGTCAGTATCCCTCCGCGTCTGAGAAAAACTGTATACAGCTGCGCTGAAAAGCAAACTGCTTGCAGTTTGCTTTTCAAACTGGGACAAGAAAACAGCGGAAAAGTAACGGAGCAGAAACCCTCCTTTTTACGCAGCGGTCCAGACATAGACATCAAACTGCAAAACATATTCAGTGTGCAGTTCCTTTGGCATTAGGGCAGGGATATCTAGATACTTTCCAAGGTTTGACATAATGAATTGTGCTACTTTTAAAGCAAGCAACGATGTTTTCAAATCTGTAATCAAAAAGGTCCGCAAAAACATTTAAGTAACTTCGACCTCCGGGGGGGGGGGGGGGGGTCTTACTATGGAGGAGTGGATTGAGGAGTGCCTATCTCCAGAACAAAAAGCACCTAAACGACGACATGTAGAGCTACGTGAAGAGCAGGTAGACCAACTGGAAAAGTATCACCATTCAAAAGCTTTCTGATGCGGGTCTTGAAACAAGGCAGAGAAATGATGACCGTTAGTGGCCACAGGTGCGAAAGCTCTCTCCAGAGCTACTGGAAGCCGAATCTCGGGGACCGGAGAAAGTGGAGCAATATTCTCGCCACGCCAAGCAACAGCCTAGAACAACCTCAACCTATACAAGTAACCACATAAGCCATTCTACTGATGCTGGACAGTTTTTCAGTGGGTGCACAATAAACGGCAACATACAAATTAATGTAAATAAATAGCCAAATAATGGATCAACGCTCTCTGTCTAATATAATTCTAAAGCGGGTTGTCGACCCTCCGCTTCGCGTCGGGCCGAACCACGCCCCTTAACTGTGATATAATGGCCATATACCACGGCCTGTCGTGAGCTATTGCTTAAATATATATTATTCTGAAATGGACCAATCTGCACAATGACTACTTTTACTGTCGCTACTTTCACTATATTTGATGAGAATACTTTCCTACTTTTACTTGAGGAACATTTTTGAATGCAGGACTTTTACTGTAACAGAGTATTCCTACACTCTGGTACTTCTACTTTACTCAAGTACAAGATCTGAGTACTTCTACTTTTACTCAAGTACAAGATCTGAGTACTTCTACTTTTACTCAAATACAAGATCTGAGTACTTCTACTTTTACTCAAGTATATTTTGATGGTAATACTGTAACTGGTTATAATGTTGATGTTTTCATGTGTTCTATTCTTCAGAGTTTATTTACATTTTACAGAGTGTCAGTGAACGCGTCACTGTTTTGATAGACAGTTGTTGTGAAGAGAAACAGCCAAAATGATGAAGAGAGAAAAACAAGAGTGTTGTTTTCCTCTGAGGACATGCTCCATGAAAGAGTTTCATATCTTGATGAATGGAGGATATTCAGTACTCACAGTTCTTCTGGATCTTGGCTCTGATCGTCTCATCATCTCTGATCCTGTAGGGATGAACACAATCCAACAGTTATGGATCCAGTTTAAAATAAGTGTTTGTTCTTTGAGTCAGCTTCAGAGTCCTGACTGATCTCATGCTTTACATCCCATCATATCTTCTCTGCAAACACTACAACTGACTGCCACAGCTCTCAGCTGCATTACAGGAAGTAACAGTCATTAGTCAAGGAGCTAAAAACATCCCATCAAAAACAGACTACCTTTTCCACTCTTCTGTCAAATCCCATATGTCTGGTGGAAAGTTGATTACTTACTAAATGTGGCTTTGCATTTTCAGCTGGCCTTCTATAGTTGATGGAAGAATGAAAGAGCCTGCAGTCAGTGGGTAACATCACTGATCTGTTGTGATTCCCCAGTGAGAGAAACACCTCCCTGTGTTTCATACAATACTGCTGAACCAGCAGAGACCCCTTACTGACCTGAGAGTCTCCAGTCTGCAGTCTGGACTCTCCAGAAGATCTCTCAGCAGCTTCTCTCTGAATCCTGCAGAGCGTTGTATCTCAGGTCCAGATCTCTCAGATGGATGTTGGACTTCAGAGCTGAGGCCAGAGCAGAACAGCTGATCTCTGACAAACTGCAGCTCCTCAGACTGAATAAAGAAACATGATGAGGATACAAATCTGTTAATAATCCAATCAGATGTTACTCAACAACAACAACAATTATACTCACTTACTTACTTTAATAATATCATTGTGTGATTCTTATTTGCTAATGTTTATCTATATTTACTACTTCTCACTCTTCTTAGCTAAGCTTGGGGAAAGTCCTTATGAAGAAGATGTGTTGCAGTGTTGTTAGTGACTCTCTATGTGCACCAACAGTATGACCTTCACCTCAGGTGAACTGAGAACTTCCTGATATGGCCTCCCTAACTCCCTAACTCCCAGAATGCTCCATCATCACCAAGCTTCCCCCCTCCCTTTCTCCTCTCTCTCGAGCCTCATCTCAATACCCCTCCTCGACTCCTCCTTTCCCTCACTCACGTCCGTTCCTTGCGTCTTAGCTCCGCCTCCGTAAGATGCGAGGAGGAGACGCGAGGACAGAGGAGTCCTCAGGTATTAATTGGGATGTCCTCGTTCACTCAAACGTCACTCTTAAACGACGTCTGTTAATGATGACATGTGCACAGCTGTATCCCCTCTCATCGGGCTTAACTGAATAACCTTTAGAACCGGCCCATTTGTTGTTAAATATTTATTTAAATTATGAATCTTTCTCTTGTTAGTCAAGGACTTCAATGTATGATGGTTGGTCCTGCTTTTGTGTTCTGTTTTGGTGTCAAATGTACATTTCAATAAAATTATAATTATAGTAATGTGAAAGCCTTTACTCTGAACATGTGTGTGTGGAGATCCCCACATTCAGGACTGTGAATTTTAAATAATTTAACTACTCATATTTTAACACAAAACAAAACAAATAATTTGTATTTATCAAGATCTAGCCATTCATGAAATAGCTTTCTTAATAGCTATGTTTTAGTGACGTTCAAGATCATTAAACATGACTTAAATTGTTAGTATAACCTTAAGAAATGAATTGCACATAATAATTCCCACGGAGCTGTGAGCACTTAGACATTTATGTGACGCTTTCCCACTCATTCTTCCAGTTCTCCGTTTTCCTCTCTTGAAATCGACCAGCTGTGAAGGTGGGGGCGGGGCTTTTATACGCGAGTAGTGAAAACACTTCCGCGTAGTCTGCTCTCGTGTATCCTCCCTTTCGTCTCTTCCCGCACCCCTCCTCCCGCACCCCTCAAAAAAACGTCCTTCAAAATGGCGTGTCTTGATCGATTTCCGGGTCAAGTCCCGGAGGAGGGGAAGAGAGGAGTCGAGGAGGGGTATTGAGACGAGGCTTCTGTGTTTGAATATGCAACTCAAACTCTACTCTTCTCTTCCTCTCTGCAGACTGTATGCTCTCTGTGTGACTGACTGAACTTTCTTGCAATAAATAAAATACCACAAAGAGCTGAATGCTTTGATTCTCTCTCCACATTTGATCAATAAATTCCCATCACAATTTAAAACTAAAATGACTTCAGATGATCTTTATTCAGACGTTATCGTTTACTAAATATTAAATACATAGATTTACTTTTCACAACTAACATCTATTACAGTTCCTTTAAGAAACAGTCAACATGTATGTCTGCAGTTCTTTCTTCTTACTCTTAAAAATGAAATATGAATATAAGGACATTTAGAACTTTATGGCTGTAAATTATTAATGAATATAAATGAGGTTAAATTCCAAAGTAAACATGTGAGATCTCCAGCAGTAACAGAGAGTCAGTGAACTGACCTGAGAGTCTCCAGTCTGCAGTCTGGACTCTCCAGAAGATCTCCCAGCAGCTCCTCTCCTGATTCCTTCAGATCGTTCCAACTCAGGTCCAGATCTCTCAGATGGGAGGGGTTGGACTTCAGAGCTGAGATCAGAGCAGAACAGCTGATCTCTGACAAACAGCAGTGCTCCAGTCTGAATAAAGAAAACATGATGAGGATACAAATCTGTTTATAATCCAATCAGATGTTACTCAACAACAACAACAACAATTATACTCACTTACTTACTTTAATAATATAATTGTGTGATTCTTATTTGCTAATGTTTATCTATATTTGCTACTTCTCACTCTTCTTAGCTAAGCTTGGGGAAAGTCCTTATGAAGAAGATGTGTTGCAGTGTTGTTAGTGACTCTCTATGTGCACCAACAGTATGACCTTCACCTCAGGTGAACTGAGAACTTCCTGATACGGCCTCCCTAACTGCCTAACTCCCAGAATGCTCCTTCATCATCACCAAGCTTCCCCCCTCCCTTTCTCCTCTCTCGGGCCTCATCTCAATACCCCTCCTCGACTCCTCCTTTCCCTCACTCGCGTCCCTTCCTTGCGTCTTAGCTCCGCCTCCGTAAGATGCGAGGAGGAGACGCGAGGAGGAGACACGAGGAGGAGACGCGAGGACAGAGGAGTCCTCAGGTATTAATTGGGATGTCCTCGTTCACTCAAACGTCACTCTTAAACGACGTCTGTTAATGATGACATGTGCACAGCTGTATCCCCTCTCATCGGGCTTAACTGAATAACCTTTAGAACCGGCCCATTTGTTGTTAAATATTTATTTAAATGATTAATCTTTCTCTTGTTAGTCAAGGAATTCAATGTATGATGGTTGGTCCTGCTTTTGTGTTCCGTTTTGGTGTCAAATGTACATTTCAATAAAATTATAATTATAGTAATGTGAAAGCCTTTACTCTGAACATGTGTGTCCTGTAGATCCCCACATTCAGGACTGCATTTTAAATAATTTAACTACTCAATATTTTAACACAAAACAAAACAAATAATTTGTATTTATCAAGATCTAGCCATTCATGAAATAGCTTTCTTAATAGCTATGTTTTAGTGACGTTCAAGATCATTAAACATGACTTAAATTGTTAGTATAACCTTAAGAAATGAATTGCACATAATAATTCCCACGGAGCTGTGAGCACTTGGACATTTATGTGACTCTTTCCCACTCATTCTTCCAGTTCTCCGTTTTCCTCTCTTGAAATCGACCAGCTGTGAAGGTGGGGGCGGGGCTTTTATACGCGAGTAGTGAAAACACTTCCGCGTAGTCTGCTCTCGTGTATCCTCCCTTTGGTCTCCTCCCGCACCCCTCCTCCCTCACCCCTCAAAAAAACGTCCTTCAAAATGGCGTGTCTTGATCGATTTCCGGGTCAAGTCCCGGAGGAGAGGGAAAAGAGGAGTCGAGGAGGGGTATTGAGACGAGGCTTCTGTGTTTAAATATGCAACCCAAACTCTACTCTTCGTCTTCCTCTCTGCAGACTGTATGCTCTCTGTGTGACTGACTGAACTTTCTTCAAGAAATAAAATACGACAAAGACAGCTGAATGGTTTGATTCTCTCTCCACATTTGATGAATAAATTCTGACCACAATTTAAAACTAAAATGACTTCAGATGATCTTTATTCAGACATTAACGTTTACTAAATATTAAATACATAGATTTACTTTTCACAACTAACATCTATTACAGTTACTTTAAGAAACACTCAACATGTATGTCTGCAGTTCTTTCTTCTTACTCTTAAAAATGAAATATGAATAAAAGGACATTTACAACTTTATGGCTGTAAGTTATTAATGAATATAAATGAGGTTCAATTCCAAAGTGAACATGTGAGATCTCCAGCAGTAACAGAGAGTCAGTGAACTGACCTGAGAGTCTCCAGTCTGCAGTCTGGACTCTCCAGAAGATCTCTCAGCAGCTCCACTCCTGAATCCTGCAGAGCGTTGAAACTCAGGTCTAGATCTCTCAGATGGATGTTAGACTTCAGAGCTGAGATCAGAGCTGCCCAGCTGATCTCTGACAACCTGCAGCACTCCAGTCTGAATAAAGAAAGCATGATGTAACTTTAGAAAACAATGTTCCTGTTTGAAATAACTCCAGGTTTAATAATCTGTTCAGAGTTAAACAGGGTTTTAATGTCAGAGATGATGCAGAAACAATCCACTGATAATCTGGAACTTTAACTTTGATCAGATGTTGAACAACTCCTTCATCTCCCTCACAGCTCATCAGTACTGACAGCATCTCCACTGACTCCTGGTGCACAGAGTGAGTCTGTGGAAGCTCAAACACTCTCCCTCACACATTCACCTTCTCTTTGTTACTCTGATCAATATTCAGTCATTAGCAAAAACGGAACAAATAAAAATAACATTGTATTTGTTCAAATTCAGAAAATCATAAACACAAACAGATCAATATGAACTGCAGTCAGTGAACTGACCTGAGAGCCTCCAGTCTGCAGTTTGGACTCTTTAGTGCAGAACTCAGCAGCTCCACTGCTGAATCATCCAGAGGGCTCTCACTCAGGTCCAGATCTCTCAGATGAGAGGGGTCAGACTTCAGAGCTGAGGCCACGACTTCACATTCAGTCTCTGAGAGTCCACAGTCATTAAGTCTATAATAAAACATAAATTACAACATGAGTTAAAAAAAGAGGAAACATTATATTAACATCAAGCATTTGATGAAAAAAGATTTGACATGTTCTGATAGACATTTGCTGTTAGTCCATTTAATATAATATATAATAATATATGATAATAGAGTGTAATGAGTTGTCGGTGTGATCTGATCACATGTCTGTGCTCCTGCTGTCACTGACTGTTACCAAAAGAAACAGAAATTAAATGAATCACTTGACAATATTAGAGATGTACATATTTAAATGTTAGTTAATATGTGGATGTGAATGATGGATGAAGGATGTTTTGGCTTCTCTGAGCATCTGAACATTTATTGCGCACACAAACACAATTAACAAACCAATAAAGTTTCAATATGTTCAACTTGATAGCATCAGATGTTCCCAGTATATCAGCATTAAGACATAACTCTGTTATTGGTGGGAAATGATATAGATCTGATTTTAAACTCTAACACATTGTGATAAAAACGTGTTTAATGATAAAGAAACTACTAGAAAGTAATAATAACATGTTTCTGTGATAACTGTAAGTCCTGCTGTGTGGTGTGATCACATGCTGAGAAACCTCTAAAGTCCTTCATGTGTTTGACATGTCGCCTCCATCACTCAATATGAAGAGAGGAACGCTTCAGTTTAACTATTATTATAAATAAAGAGAAGAACAGTGTTGGTTTTATTTTCTCAGTATTTAAACAGCAGAAATGTTATCGTGTGTATTTGAATAATTAAACTCCTGATCAGAGATGGGGTCGTTACTAAAAAAAAGTAATATATTACATATTACTTTAAAAAAAAGTAATATATTACACTACTTCGTTACTCTCTACATAAAGTAACTCGTTACTTTACTCGTTACTTTACTCGCAGGGCCGGCCCGCCCCTCCCTACAGGCAGATCACGCAGACTGCTAAAGTTTTAAATGTTCTCTTTAGTTCAGTTTCCATTGTCGCATAAGACTGATCCAGATAGCTCTGACCATGGCTGTCCTCTGTCTCCTGCTATCTGTATTTTGCGCAGTATATCTCTGAACGATGCGATGGTGATTCCACTGTGCAAATGGGCAACATTACCTCTACTATGAAGGATGCTACAAGCCTGTCCATCTCTGCTTTGGTTACCGGTCCTCCAAATTCTAATTTGTGCCGCTTCAGATTCGGCGGCGGCGACTCACAACATCCTCACTCTGGGTTCGGGGGTCCGGTCCTTAGCTATTAGCTTCACCTTAGCATGTGTTCTTTGCAGGTATTTGTTGAGGTTTGACGTGGTGTTTGCAGCAGTGGATAACAGCTTCTGGCCTGGACACAGTTTGCACCTCACCGTCACATTCCTGTCTATTCTTCGGACGAACTCAAAATAATGGGCATACCTCCACCCCTCGAAAGTTATCGCTGACTCAGCCATGTTTATGCAGCACTGCACGTGGATATGTGGACGCGCGAGTCGCGCAGATTACGTACATATAAACCTGCGGCGGAAACCCCTCTTGTCTGTCAGTGTGATTATGACTGATTTTATAAAAGTAACGAAGTAACGCGTGTCGGGGCAATGTTAGTAACTGTAGTGTGATTACTGAATTATAAAAGTAACGCGTTACACTACTCCGTTACCGACAAAAGTAATATTATTACAGTAACGCGTTACACCCAACTCTGCTCCTGATCCACATTAGTTTATAAAGTTAATCACATCTGGACTTACTTGAACTTCCTGCAGTTCCTCACAGCTGGAATCAGTCTCTGTTTCCCCTCCACTGATGTGTTGTACTGATCCAGGTCCAACTCATCCAGAACCTCCTCTGACATCTGCAGCATGTAGGCCAGAGCAGAGCAGTGGATCTCAGAGAGTTTCTTCTCTGATCTGTTCTCTGACTTCAGGAACTCTGTGATCTCCTGATGTACTGAGTGGTCCTTCATCTCAGTCAGACAGTGGAAGATGTTGATGCTCCTGTCAGGAGAGATTTTAGAACTTCTCATCTCCTTCAGGTTGCTGATGGCTCTCTGGATGGTTTCTGGTCTGTTGTCTGTGCGACCCAGCAGGCCTCCTAACAGTCTCTGGTTGGACTCCAGAGAGAGGCCGTGGAGAAAGCGGACAAACAGGTCCAGGTGGCCATTTTCACTTTGGAGGGATTTCTTCATGGCTCCCTTTAGGAAGACAGGCAGGGATGGGTAATCATCATCACTGTTATCCCTGTCTTCGTCCCAGTCTCTCTGCAGGAAGTCCTCCAATACCTCTGTGTTCCTGTTGGTGTAACAGTGCAACATGTAGACTGCAGCCAGAAACTCCTGAATGCTCAGATGAACAAAGCAGTAGACTGTTTTCTCAAGATCACTCTCTCTCTTTGAAGATCTGTGTACAAACTC